GGTCTAAAGGCCTGTGCCACCACACCCAGTTCTCAATATACCCGTTAAAATAAAATTGTGAACAAAGCAAAGTGTGTGTGAAAGCAGAAGGAACGGCAGTCCCCCACCATTTGATGTGGGAGGGAGGGGATGGGAGGGGTTAGGGAGCTTTCTCAAAGCAAGAAGTTGGACATGCTTGCCCTCATACAGTTTCCTTTGCCTAGGAAAAAAGGGGTGTCTATCTCAGGAGACCCAGTGAATGCAAAGCTCCCGAAGTTTGAGCTTCCTTGCTCTGCCCTGGAGCGAGCGAAGACGGACTGTGGAGTCTGTCTTGGGACTCTAGAGCAGCATCGTTCTGAGCAGGGTTTAAGAGCTTGAACCCTAGCCGGGCGGTGGTGGCACACGCCTTTAATCCCAGCACTCGGGAGGCAGAGGCAGGCGGATCTCTGTGAGTTCGAGACCAGCCTGGTCTACAAGAGCTAGTTCCAGGACAGGCTCCAAAACCACAGAGAAACCCTGTCTCAAAAAACCAAAAAAAAAAAAAAAAAAAAGAGCTTGAACCCTGGCATCACACGGCTGTGATTAGTTTCTAGCTCTCCTGGTACCATGGGCAAATTATTTGATATCTCTGTATGTCAGTTTCCCCCTCCTCAAAATGGAATCATAGGTCATGGGGAGATTTTAGCGAAAGGTTTTTAAGTTAACTTGTAAGAATCGCTCGCTGTTCTTATTCGGTTTGCCCCCCTGCTGCTTGTAGACACCTGTCTGGGATTCCTGCCTTTTCCTTATTGAAGACTCTCCCAGCCTGATGGGAGAGTCTTCACACCTCCCTGCTGAAGCAGATGTTCCGGAGGCAGAGGCATAGGGAAGGGATTGGATACTAATATCTGGAGGTGGTTGTCCCCTGTGAAACACGTCCTGTGACTGAGCGTGGGCTCAGGCTCTCAGCTCTGTGCGTGTGACTGCAGGTGTGAGCTGGTCAGAGCATTCTGGATTTCTGGTGAGCATCCTGAGCAGGTGGGTGGGGAAGATTCACTGCTGGCCTTTGGTGCTAAGTAAGAAGGCAGGCTGTGCACCTGCTCTTGTCTCGAGATCTGGGGGTGGAGCCCAGTCCCCCCTACGACACACATTCACACACTACTCCTGGTTGAACGGAAAGAGAAGATGGAATTGTGATGGCCACCAATGAGATGTCCCTATCGTGCGAATACCACAGTGTGACACATTTGCCACGCACATGGGTCAGTTTGGGTTTAGACTTGGTCTTCTCCTATTTTGAGAATGGTTTGTGTGCTCTCGGAAGCTTCCCCAAGGGACCCAGGAGAGAGAAGCGAAGGGCTGTCTGCCATGGAGACAGCAAATTTCTGGGTGCCAAAGCTGGAAAGACAAAAAAAGAAACAAATTTCCCTGGCCAAAGTTTGGAAACGGGCTGGAAATACTCTCTCTAGGAACAACTGTAACAAAGGTGGCTGTCTTAGCATGTGCAGTATTTCATGGACTTACCTTAGGTGACTGCAAGCTTTGCTGGCTGTCCCCTCCCCTCTCTCGCCTTCAGCCTTCATCTCCTCGTGGGGCAGCCTTGACTAGTCAGCTCTGAACTCTTTATCCCTTATTGGTGGTCACGATGTATGTCTGAGCAAACACCAGACACAGTCACCAATGACCAGCTCTACCTACCCTTTAAATCCCAAGCCTGGAGAGGTCCCCACACAGCAGACTGAGTGGTAATGCCGCCTGTACAGCTAGCCAGGTACACAGCACACGGTCACCTCCCGACTCAGAGTTCCATCCATCTTCAGTCGCTGCAGACCCGGATCCCAAACCGCACTCAGAGCCTTCAGAACAGGATCCAGGCTTCCGGGGAGCCAAGATGACGGTCCACCTGCCACAAGAGGTCAGCTTTTCCCCAGGGATTTTCCCACAGCCCAGGATCTTTAGCATCGGGTGGAATTCTGCTGAGCGGTTTGTAGGGACCAGAGCTGAGAGTGGCAGAGGCATCTTGAACGTCTTTTTGGATTTGCCTGACCTTCCAAATGAGGAATGTGGAGTTTATTTTGGCAGTTGACTGTGAAGAAGAGAAACCCCAGCCAGCCGGTACCTTTCTGCATACATGTGTGTTTCCCTTTATCGTTGCTAGAGGCACAAATATTTTACCCACGCTCCTGCCCCCTCACCTTGAAGTTTTATTGTCAACACATTTTTGTGTAGTTTCTAGGGACTTTTTTCTGCTCCACCTAGGGGTGTACCCTATCTTCATATGATCTGGACACTGGGGCAAGGGTCTGTGCCTCTACTGTCTTGGCTGTATTACAGGGGCAATAGATCCCTTAGTACCCTCATGTACCTGTTCTTGACTCTCCACTCTCTCTCTTTGAAGATGTCCAGCAACTGTGGCTCTACCACCATCACAGAACCTCAGCCCTGGGGTCAGCAGAGTGGAGAAGAGAAAGTAGATAAGATGCTCCTCCACCCAGAAGACATCCGTCCTGAGCTGAGAGAAGATATACATGACCCCAGCTACCAGGATGAGGAGGGGCCCCCGCCCAAGCTGCAGTACATCTGGAGAAAGGTCATCTTCATGGTCCTGGTGCACTTGGGGGCCCTGTATGGGATCACATTGATTCCCTTCTACAAGGTCTACACCTGCCTCTTTGGTGAGCAGCTCCCCTTGTCTTGGGCCAGTACCCCAGCTTTCTCCCTACTTTTGAATGAAGTAGACTCTGACTCATAAAATTAGCCTCTCTTTATCTTGATTTTTTCTCGAATCTTCTCTTCATTTCTTGAGATACTAGTAACTGAACTGGGAACAGAGCTTTGTGGGATTGGGATGCAGAGTGTCGTCTCTGGGGGTGCTTGAACATGGATGTTAAAGCCTATGAAGGGTGGAGAGACAAACACGGCAAAGAACTGGCAGTCTCTGAAAGAGCTTTTTTGTTCAAAAAATTTCCTGTCTTAGCATTGCCTGCCACAATAAAACTAAGGTCTTTGCTGGGAGCCTGATGAGCGGCCCCATGGGCTGTTTGCTTAGTCAGGAGACAGAGCAAGGAGAGACTGTTCAGATGGTTCAAGAGGAACTCGAAAGGAATAACCCACAAAAAAATCTGTACATGATTCTGGACAGGTCAGGCATGTTGAACCCAGGGGAAGGTGAGGCAGCCTCCATACAGTCTGAGTGCACGGGGGTGTGGCTCTGGTGCTCCAGGTAGGTCCTGTCAGTCAATGAGATATTCCTCAAATGAAAAAAGAGGGTCCAGAAAGGGTTCTTTGCATTCCTCGGGTAGTTAGTTCCTGTCCTGTCTCTGGAGACCCTGACAAAGGGCCAAGAACCTTCTAACCTTAGTTACTCTGTCTCCTATCCACCCCTCCTTGCCAGGGACAGCCAGGCACAGAGAACAGAGTCTTGAGAAACCCTGATGGTGGTCAGGCTGCTGTAACAAGGAAGATAGTTGCTACTGTGTCCCTTGTCTGCTAGCTCAACCGCTCAGGGATATATGGGTCTGGGCTGATGCGGGGCTGTCCCGGGACACATACCTGTGCCTTCAGGTGGTTTAACTTATGACTCCTGATTCTCCGATTAGGAAGAGGGGACAGGGCTCTGCAGGCCAGGGCCCCTAACTATTTTTTGAGGAATGACGCACCTGGAAGACACAGGACTTTCTGGTAGCTGTCTCTAGGAAGGTAGTGATGTAGAATGGCTGTCCCTGCTCTTGGCCTCTTAGTGCCTCCAGCAGGTGAGCTCTGGTCCTTGGAGCTTCATCTTAGTAGTTCTGTGGGAACTACAAGAGGAATACCCTTTCTCAGGGCCACAGCTTTTCCAGGTACTAAATGGAGATAATGCTTTGTCATGTTTAGGAAAGTTGTGCTCTCTAGGTTGTGTGTTTTCCCAGCTTTTCTTCTAACTCAGCTACTTTGAGAGCCTTCTCTCCTGCTGGGATATTAACCTGGAGGGCTAAAGGGGAAAACCCTCTAGACCACTACGGCCTCAAGCAGTCCATCCCTGGGGCGGGGGGGGGGTCACTGAACTAACCTACTTGAACCGAGCTGTCTGTCTGACAATCAAGAGGTTGAGAAGCACAGGCCACACAGTGTTTGGGGTCTTGTCCAGGTCCCCTTGTACTTACTGCTTATGCTTGCAAAGCCAATGTACCAGAGATACCTGTGACAGGAACTAACACGGGCACTTTTGGGTTCTGAATCACAGAACTCTGGCTCATCTGCAGTTCAGGGTCAGATCATACATGTGGGAAGAGCTCAATCTAAACACAGCCAGAGCAGCAAATCATTTGGGCCTGGTCCCAGCTCAGAGGGACTGTGACCAGAACCTTCCTTGGCAGCACACTGGCTCAGTGATCTTTGTGGTGACCCTGAGAAGGAATGGGATGCAGCGTGAGTGGGGAGAGGCTGTTTGGGAGACTGTTATTTCTTGGTCTAGAAGGACACAGTTTATACACTGTGTGGTGACTTCAGCCTGAGCTACGTATGCTTCATGGTTCTAAGGAGCCTTGGTTTCCAGCTGCCCACAGGAGTGAAGCGCCGTTGGAAGTCTCCTCCAAGCCCCCATGGGGACAGCCTTAGTCAGGGGACAGAGCAAGGGGGGAATGCTTCCTTCCCTATTAACCTTCTAAGCCTTTGACTTCAAAGATGGTGAGGTAGGACATGGTACCCACCCTTAGACCACGACACAGCTATTACAGAGTTGACTTGCCCTACTATGGGCGCCACCAGCTGCCAGCTTCAGTGTTACCCAGCATTATACTGGCAGCAAGCATCCAGACTGACAGAGGAACATGGCAAAGGAGTGTTTGGGATCTCGGCATGGATTTGGGCGGCTGGATGGCACAGCTGGAACAGTGCCTTATTATCAGAAAACTGAGCTTCAGCCAACGGCTACAGTTTGCCATAGTGAGATTCTGGGTAAACATTTAGCCTTTTCTTTTTTTTTTTATGGCTCTTTTCAGTTTATTGCATGAAGGAGTTACACTAGTCCAAGTTAAAAGTGGACCCCAAATGGTTACATTATACAAGCTGTGAGGTTTTTAAACTTGTGACAAGGGACAGGAGGGAAATTCTACTCATTGCAAGGAAATCCTCACTTAAGCTTCAGAGTCACAAGCACTTAAAACCCATGAACCTTCAGCTGATCGTCCTTAGCCAGTCCAATCTCTATTAGGAACTGGCATATGTTCTTGCGCTGGTCACCCTGTAGCTGAATTACTTCTCTATATTCTGGATGCTCAATTACAGTACCATTGCAGGCAAATTTCTTCTTACACGCCTTCACTAGTTTCTTTTTATCGTAATCATCAGCGATCCCTTGGACAGTGGTAAGGGTCTTCCTACCGTTTCTCTGTTGAATTCTTATATGGATATAATCCTCAGTGCCAGCAGGAAGCAGGTCATCACCCTTACTTGCATCAGCAAAGGGGTCGAAAGAGTGGACCTCGGTGGAAATGGCCTGCGGAAGGCGGCTGCAGGAGAAGGCGGGCGGGGGGGGGGGGGGGGGGGGGGCGAGGGGGGGGCGGAGCGTCAGGAAGCAAGGGGGCTCGAGGGGGAGGCAGCTGAGTCCTCGGCGGTGGCTCAGTGACTGGGGCCACATTTAGCCTTTTCTATGGTCTACTTCTTCAAGATGCAGAAGTGATCACACCCACCTCCCAAGGTGTGCAGTAATTGTGAAAATATTAATATTTTTGGTGATGCTCAGGTCACTGTGAAAACATAGCTCTGGTAGGACTGACTCACCCTGAGATGGGCATGTTGCCTTCCATTGTATTGAAACGCTGTTGTCTCAGCTGGTGAATTGGCACAGGCCTGTGATCTCTCAGTATTTCTTCACATTTGGGGTTGTTGTAATTGATCAAACGGAATTGCTCTGATTTCTGTTTTTCAAGGCACTGGGGGACTAGTCTGTGGCCCTGAACAACTTAGAGGAAGGTCAGAGTTGAAGGGTTCAGGGGTACCACCCCTGCAGACAGTGAGAGTCCTGTTGCTCGTCTTGATTCCTTTCTTCATTTCTGGGGCTTCCGAGCTTTCCTCCATATCTAGATAGAGGCCATAGTGGGGCTACTCAAGTGTTCGAAGCCACAAGATAACAAGACCGAAGCATGCCAAGGTTCAGGGAAAAGGATCTTCACTAACTTCTGAAGAAATAGCAGACTAGAGAGTCAGGGAAGGGCCCTTCCACCCTAGGCCTGATAGGACCCGCAATGATTGGTGACTCTCCTGCCATCTCCTGACAGGAATATTCTACAGCATAGTTGCTGGTTTGGGTGTCACAGCTGGGGCCCATCGCCTGTGGAGCCACCGAACTTATAAAGCACGGCTGCCCCTGAGGCTCTTCCTCATCCTGGCCTACACCATGGCTTTCCAGGTGAGAAGCTGGTAGAAATTCCATGTCTGCCCTGTGAAGGCTGGGGGAGTGTGCTGCAAGTTAGCACCTCCAGAGGAGCCAACAGCAAAGCCATTATCCTCATCACTTTCCTGTAGTCAGCACAAGAGCATGCTCAGTACCAAGGTGCACACAGCATGAGACATCTCAGAATCAGCAGGATGGGAGACAGGAATTAACTGGAAAACTCTCCAGGTATAGGGTCACTGTGTTCCCCGAGTTCCCCACGTAACATACTGTATGGGTTGTCTGCTGTGGCTGGTCCACTTAATTTACGAGCTATGGCTCATCAGTTAACCGCTGACATTGGTTTCTTTGTTGGTTTGGTTTGGTTTGGTGTTTTGAGACAGGGTTTCTCTGTGTAGCCCCAGCTATCCTGGAACTCACTATGTAGACCAGCTGGATATTCACCTGCTTCTGCCTCCCAAGTGCTGCGATTAAAGGCGTGCGCCACCACCACCTGGCTTGACTTGAGTTTCTTTAATACTTGGTGAGCAAGACATTCATGCTGTGTCTATCTCAGGAGTCAAGTGGGAGAAAAAGTGATCCGCTACAGACTTGGGGACTGCTGCAGATATGAAGAACACGTCAGTGCAGGCAGCCTTTGTGACACAGATGATCTTGTTAAGTTCTCAAAATGTCTTAGGAGGTTGAGCCCCATTTTGTACTTGGACACTAGGAGGCCGGAACACTATGGTCCTATGAATGACTGTCGTGCTGGGTAAGCCAGCTGTGGAAGCTTGCCGAGGCAAAGCTATAATAGAAACAAAGGAAAGGATCAGGGGTCTGACTTCGCTGTTAGACTCCAGCAGGGAACTCAGGATAGCTGTGGCATGGGGCTTAATCTCAACGAGAGGAAATGGCTTGGTGAGACTTGAGTTTCTCAACTTATGTACCTAGTCATTTCTACCCTAACAAAGTATTCCTCAAAGGCTCTGATGTCCTGGGGGGACAACACCGAAATAGAGACACTGACACATCTGTGAAGGGATGGAAGGAGTCACACATGAGCCAGAGGTTGCTTGGGAAAGGGCTGAGGCTCATGAGTTACACAGGCCCTGACGCCGGCTTGGGTGAGTTGTCACCCGTAAGGGCATCCGGAAGAATATCCCTGTACCTCTGTGATGGAGCAGCATCCTGGGATACCAGGGCACCTGTCTCACAGTCTCTGGACCCAATGCTCAGGATTCCATCAGGAGCTTGTCTCAGTTTTTCCTCAAGAGCTAGCATTCCCACCCTGCCTCTCTGGGCTTGTGGACTTCATTGCTGCTCTCCTCTCTGTCTCCCTATCACACAACCAAAGGAAGCAGCAGTGTGATTCCTGGGGCTGGAACTGTAAGTTGCTTTCTTCCATAAGCTTCAGGGGCAAATATGCAGAGGATGGTGTTCCTCAAGGCCTCCTTTAGGCCCGAGTCCTGGGGATTTTTGTGAGGTGAGGGTCTTGAGTCCTTGCAACCTCTGGGTGCTGGATTCCTCCAGGAGGGTTTCTCTTCTCAATACTAGGGTCCTCTTTCCTGTTCCCTCAGAATGACGTGTATGAATGGGCCCGAGATCACCGCGCCCACCACAAGTTCACAGAAACACACGCTGACCCTCACAATTCCCGGCGTGGCTTTTTCTTCTCTCACGTGGGCTGGCTGCTCGTGCGCAAACACCCGGCCGTCAAAGAGAAGGGCGGAAAATGGACATGTCTGACTTAAAAGCCGAGAAGCTGGTCATGTTCCAGAGGAGGTGAGTGAAGAGGGGTTACCCTGGGAATGTGGGGTTTAGGGATCCTGCTTTTCCTATCAGAGCACATTAACTAAGTGAAGGATTTCACTCAGTGTGCATACTGGCCATCGTTCTGAAACACAGTTCTCGAATGTCTCACAGGCCCACAAGCAGGGAGTATTGCTTTTTCCTTTCTCTCTGAGGTATTTCCATGAAACAAATTGAATGAGTCAAATGTTCATTGACTTAGAATAATCATGGACACAATCACAGAAATAATGGAGCCCTTTGGTTCGAAAGGGCCATAGCCTAAGGCAGGTATGCAAATAAGTGTGAAAGGTTTGTGGGCCAAGACTGCGTAGTAGGAATGCAAGGGAAGAGTTGCTAGAAAAAGCAGCCTTATGAACAGCAACGATTCTGATGTTTGTGTGGGGACAGGGACAACACACCCAGTGCACAAGACCAGCTAAAGCCTGAGACTAGAAACACGGGCCATCTCCTGGAAGGAGCTCTCTTGGCATCATGTGGCAGAGATATGCTTTAGAAGGGCTGCCCCAATACAGGTGAAAGTAGCCCTTGCTTGACAGGTGAAGATCAGGGAAACAGGTTAGCTGTGGAAGCCCCAGGCCAGGAAAGCAGAGGTAAGAGTGGAAAGGAAAGGAGCTGGATACAGATGATGTAGAAGAAGGTGAACATGAGACCACTTAACGGATATCCATCAATTCCCTTGTGATGTCAGTGGTCTGCAGTGAAGAGTGAGTAAAACCTCCAAAGGGACATAGAGGCCAGTGGTGGCACATGTCTTTAATTTTAGCACTTGAGAGCCAGAGACCGGAGTGATGGAGGAAGGTCATTGGCTAATAAAGGAACTGCCTTGGCCCATTTTATTGGTTAGAGGATAGGTGGGAGGAGTAAACAGAACAGAACGCTGGGAGGAACAGGAAGTGAGGTCAGAGTCTCCACAGCTCTCCTCTCGGGAGCAGACACCTGAGAGAGACGCCATGCCCCGCTCCCGGGCAGACACACGCGATGAAGCTCCGACCCAGGATGGACATAGGCTAGAATCTTCCCGGTAAGCGCACCTTGGGGTGCTACGCACAGATGATTAGAAATGGGCTAAATTAATATGTGAGAATTAGCCTAGAAGAGAATGGGCCAAGCAGTGCTTAAATGAATACAGTTTCCGTGTAATTATTTCGGGCATAAGCTAGCCGAGCAGGCGGCTGGGGTGTTGGGGATGCAGCCCCGCCTGCCCTTATTACTACACCGGAGGATATCTGTGAGTCTGAGGCCAGCCTGGTCTGCAGAGTGAGTTTCAGGACAGGCTCCAAGCTACAGAGAAACCCTGTCTCTGTAGTAAACTCTAGAAAAACCAAACCAAACCAACCATTCAAACAAAAACCAACAAAACAAAGAGACAGGGAGCTGCAGTGGCCGAGGGCCCTCAGTTTGCCTCCTGAAAGGCAGAGCAAAGATCTGGGGGTGGCAGCAGGAAAGGAACACTTGTCACACATTCTGTGTCAAAGGTGGACTCAAGAAGGGATCCCACAGACAACTGGACAAGAGCCCAGGCAGTGGAACTTAGCAGATGAGTTTGTGGCTTTAGGCTGACTTGTTTGGCCAACATGACTTTACACTTTGTCAAAATGAACAATGGACTTCTAGTCAACAGACCCATGTCCTAACCCATGTTCCACTAGTATTCCTTATCTAAAGACAAGGCTGGAGAGATGACTGGGGGAGGGGGAGACATCCACAGGTCCACCTGGCACCTCAAGGTCTGAGCTGGCTGCAGATACCTACAACCCATGTCATGAGTCTTTTTCTGTCCCACCAGTCAGCTCCCCAATAATGACATGGAGACATCTTGTTGATTATGAAAGCTTGACCTATAGTTTAAGCTTGTTTCTAACTAGCTCTTATAACTTAACCCATGGATTTTATTTTATTTATTTATTTTATTTTATTTTTTAAAAAGATTTATTTATTATGTATATAGCCTACATGCCAGAAGTGGACACCAGATTTTATTGCAGATGGTTGTGAGCCACCACATGTAAATCCAGTTCCAGGAGATCCAGTGACATCTTCTGACCTCTTTGGGTACATGCACATATGTGATACAGGCAGGCAAAGCACTCATATACACTATATATTTGTGTGTGTGTGTGTGTGTGTGTGTGTGTGTGTGTGTGTGTGTGTACAGGGTGAGATAACATATACCCCTCCTGTATTCATAGTGTAAGAGAAAAGACAGCCCAGCCCAGTGAACGTAGACCTCTCAAGTGTACTGCGGCCCCTCTCCACAGACTCAGTATGTGGTCTCTCCCAATAGGTACTATAGGCCAGCTGTCCTGCTCATCTGTATCATCCTGCCCACACTGGTGCCCTGGTACTTCTGGGGTGAAACTCTTCAGCACTGCTTATATGTCATTACTTTCCTGCGGTATGCTGTGATACTCAATTTCACCTGGCTGTTGAACAGTGTTGCCCATCTCTATGGATACCGGCCATATGACAGGAACATTGGCGCCCCAGAGAATGGCCTGGTTTCACTGGTATCTTTGGGTAAGTCATCAACTCACACGGAGACTACATGAGGTGGGTTATTGATTAGAGCATTAAGGCTAAGCCAGAGACTCCAGATTATAACTTGTA